CACCCACTATAAGTGGAAACAAATTTTGTTGTGGGACGAAAATCAAACTTTTACTTTCACCAGTGATGTCCTCGTAGACCTGATATTGAATGTTTAGTATAAAAAAACGCTGTACGCTTCTGATTTCAACACCCTGTAGCTCAAAAACTAAGAGGTTCAGGATCAGCATTCAATTATGAAACACCCTGTATATAAATTGTTCAATGATGAAAAAAAAGGGCAAATTGTTCTAAATGCGATCCAGAAGACAGGCGGAAAAGAAGGTAAAATTAGTAACTTTATATTGAAATATCTTAATAAATATGGTTTGTTCACATTTTCATTATCAAATTCGTGTTTTTCAGACAAAAATACGCAAGTACCAAGGAAAAATTTCGAAAAGAAACCATCGAGTGATAAGTGCAAAATTACCCTGATAGCCTCAAATATTTCCAATTAGTAAATTAGTAATGAAACCTCCTGTATACAACTAGTAAAATAGTTATTTATTATACAAGGGAAAAAAGTAGTAGATTTTAGCTCCAGACAAAAAACCGTGAGCTAAAATCTAATATTTTTCCCGTGTATAATACACTATTTTTTTCTGTGACAGAAGGAAGGACGAATCAATATTGAGAAGATATTACATTATTTCGAAATCTGAAAATTATCGACGTGAAATTTCAAGTTTTTAACAGTAGGGACACCTGCGTTTTATAGGCATCTTTATCATTCTTTTGAAGCAATCAAATATCTGATGTCACTTCTGTCAGTTCAATTCTGTGATTTGATTGTGAAAAATTGCGAATTCAGTCATTGTTCAGTAATATGCGAAGTCGAATGGAAGATAAAAGGACGCAGTTCTTTCTCGGAGACGGTATTATTGATTCATTTTTCGGAACTATAGCACAACAAAAGCCATTAACAGAGTATATATATGTGATATATATCCGGGAAAAAAGTACTCACTTTTTTCCCACGGGAAAAAAGTAATTTATGAAAAGTGACATTTTATAACCTGCCAACAGAGATGAAATGCCAAACTTTTTCCCCGTCACAGAAAAAAAATTGTTTTTCAACTTTTCGGTGTTCCCTTTAAGGAGTCGGACTACCCGAACGACTGGAGCAGCCGCCCCGACCAGCTGCCCCCTAAGAACTGGTCATTCCGTCCTCCCAAGAGGGACCTGCTCAGCATACGGTACGCACGTGTGGGCAACGCCAGCGTCTTCTCGCGCAAAGGGCTGTGCACCCTGTTCCTGACCAATCTGATATCGCTCCTGCTGGGCACTGGGGTGGGGCTCTGGCTCAGCAGACATGGCTTTTTCGTTCCCGCCATCAGAGTACGTTAGGTACAATGAATGTCAGCGTCCCGAGCCAAGGCTCGAATTGATCAAAAGAAATTAGCTGGGTAGGTTTTTGTTTCACCCTGCACTGTCACCTGAATAGAAAGTTGAGATAGCATTGAGAAAGAAACAAATGTCTTCCCCATATGTCCTTGTCTTCAGTGTTCCAACGTAAACTAATGGATATTTTGTGTTGGTAGCATTGGAAATGGGGAAAAATGGAGAAGAAGATCATATTAACCTCAATATAAAAGAGGTTAGAATGGTCATCTTCTCCATTTCTTCTCATTTCCAGTGTTGCCAATATAAAATTTTCATTATCTTATGTTGGCTTACTGAAGACAAGGACAGATGGGGAAGACATTTTTTCCTCTATCAATGAATCAATGCCAGCTGAACTGCTCTATTCAAAAGGATAGTATCTTCTGACTTTTCCAAAGAGTGAACATCTGATTATATTCACTTCTTTGGTACTTTATTGAAGATTTTATGGGTATTCAACAGAATTCATCGGAACTTATCGAACTTTGTTAGATAGACTTCATGAGTACTTCACGGACTTCAAGTACTTCCATGAGGCTCCACAGACTTCTAGGGACTGCTCTTGGTACTTTGGCTTTGATACTTCTCAATACACATGGATATTTCATGGTATTTATATGAGAACTCCTCTTCATCCTACTTCATTAGGACATCTCGGAATTAATTGGAAATTCATCAGCAGTTTTCCTCTTCAGACAGCATATGACTGGAGCAATTTCAAAAATCCTTTAAACTGATGCTGAATATTTTCCTAGTTTTTCTTGGGGAAAATTGCATATTGCCAAGTTTCAAGGTATCAAGAGTTGAAATTTAGAATCAATCATATATTAGAGACAAAATTTCAAGGCACATTAATTGTTATACATTTTCAAAGTTTTTAATAGATTTATGATGGTGATATCTGTTCATATCAGTTGTTTTCCTCTTAATTTCTATTTGTTTGAAAATATGTTGGGTCCAGATTGTATGGGAGAAGATTTGATACTAGGCCCAGATAGAGTAAATGTAAATTTCTTTTGAGCAATTTCCACTGATGGCTGGTGAACGCTGCCTTGTGAATGAGACTGGGATTTTTCTACTGTAGGTAGTGGGGATTGAAATCACCACTTTAAATTTGCTTATTTTGTATTTTCTAAGATTATTACTGAATTTCCCATATTTATATGTTGTTACTTCTTTAGTATAATTTATGATACTAATGTTAGTTTTAAATTGGTACATTTCATGGTTTATGTTTAACTTTATGATTCTAGAAAAATGAAATCATTATTGTTCTCTAAATTAAATCATTCAGCCTGGAACAAATACCTGTTTTCAAAATTGTGATAGTGATATAAACAGGGAAAATAAATAGGGAGTAAATGATAAACTCAAGGCAAGTTTATTTCATTGAACCATGCACAATAATATAAAATTTAACTATCTTTTTTGTGTTGAATTTCTTAGTATTTTGTACTTTTCCTGATAATCCATACCTGTGATTACTTTGGACTAATTTTCGAAATTGTCTGTTTAAGTAGTACAGGATGAGCAAAGTAATTTGCTTCTTTTGGGTTCCAAATGCTGTTTTTATTTTCACTCAAAAGTTTCAGTCATGGTTGGTAGATTCAGTGCAAAACCTATAAATATCAGATATACATCAGTTACTTTGATTGAAATATTGACATAAAAAATGTTGAACTAGTATTTTAATGCATATTTTTTTCAAAAAAAAATTATTAAATACTAATTAGATCTGAATATTCTTAGTTTGCCTGTAAAAAATGTGTATTTGTGGATGAGCCAGTGTTTGAGCAATAATGGTTGAATTGTTGAAGAAAAATCACAAGTTAATCTAAGGGAAACCATTATTTTCGTTCCATTATTTTTTCAGATAACTGATAAAGTTATGTGTGTTCTAGTTTTTCTACCATGAGAATAGTTTTTTATTTGTCTTCAGCTGGGCTGAGGTGGAATTTGAAGTTTTGGAAAAATATACCCTTAGATATAGATTTAATAATCATAATGTTCGTGTTTTCAAATAATCACAAATACATTTTTCTAAGCTCAGTTGTATTTTTTTTATTGCCTATTGTTCTTTTTTGTTTTTTACCATTCCTAATTTCATAGGTTTGTTCAAGGCCTACTGATTTCTGAATGCTGCAATTACATTGCTTGTAAAATTGAAACAATACATACAACCCTCATATTGAATTTTCAATTACCTCACAAACATGACATTGAATGCTGTACTCACTTACCCAATCCTCAAAAGCACCTGATAATAAATGTATTTGATATGTGCTGAGGGTTTGAACACTGCTATGGTAAGATTATATCTCAACAGGTGAGTGAAACAGGAACTACCGAATTCATTTATATGATTGCATTGAAATAATAGGATGTGTGTACGTTAAAAAAGTTAAAAATAGTTCATTGACCTAAACATTTAGTCAAGGACAATAACAGTAGTGTTTTGAAATTGGTGAATATGCCAACCTTATTTTTTATATTACCCGCGCCATTCAGACATCTTCCCCAGACGACCAATCGAAATGCGAGCAGGATAAGACCATGATACATAGGCGTACCGAGAAATATTTTTAAAGGTGTTAACGAAATTATTGATATGGTAATTTTGAAACTAGGGCTCCTGAAATACATTTGCATACGCAGTCAGCATGATAACTCTCGACTTTTTGCAAATTCAATTCTATATAATTTTTCCAAAACTTCTCCATGGATTACTTCACATAGATCGATGATTATTTGTATCAATTTATTTCCGTAAATGACGACCGAGCAAACACAATTACATCACAGATATATCGCAGCGATGTAACAATTGCGACTCGAGATATCGCATCCTATGCCGCATAACGACGACGTCACTGCGATAACTTCTCTGCGATATATTTTTTGCAATGTAGTTGCGATGTTATTTGTGATGGAAAAGCTGTGTGTTATTGCGATGAAACTACGATATGATGGGAGATCACATCGCAGTAACACGTAAAAAAGTTTGCTCAAATATGGTGCGAACATTGAACATTGTTTTTACTGGTCGGTGGTTCCTCATCGGGTCTCATGTCCACTCAATCGTCTTTTCATCGACGCTATCCTTATAAAGTACCTACATATCTCCATCAGAATGAGATCAATTACTCGTATTTGTATGAAAATTTATGTAGTGTGTGTGTCTGCGAGATTTAAAAGCAAACCAAGAATAATTTGAAGGCAATGTAACGAATGATTGCGAATTTAGCTTCACTTTGTTGAGTATCGTATATTCATTTATTCTTTTTCACCGAACAAGAATCTGGATAAGATGGCTACAAGCTACAAGGGACTTTTGAAAAATTCTCACAGATGAGTTTGCTTCTGTACATCGCAGCGATGCAACATTCATGATATCGCAGTGTTGCCTTATCATTACACCTTCACAGTTCCTTGTTGATCTGACAATATGCTTTATCCTAACCACAAAAGTGATAAAACTTGAACCAAATTTAAGAAACGGATATACATTTGTTCAGAAAATACTTACCTATCTATAAAAAAGATCGATTTCTTAAGCTAGTTGACATGTTCAAGACATGAAAGTACTGAAACCTTTCAGAAAGAGAACGCATTTCTGGAGTTTGATGAGGGCCGTGTGTTGTACCAGCACCAGCCCAGCGGGACGGCAATGGGATGTAGACGGAAACGAAAAGTGACGATGACGATACGTCGTTTTGTATCGTTGGTGTCGATCGAAACGAAAGAAAGCGGTGCGAGCGGAGCGCCCCCTCCCAGTGTGCTGACCCCTACTACAAAACTTGACAATTGTGGCTGGAAATATGGCTGTAAAATAACCAATGACCCTTTGTTTGAATCGCAATGTTTTTAAAAGAAAACCCTAACAAAAATTGGTACAGAAGGTGGATATAGTTGAGAGCCAGGAAAATATACAGGATGTGCGTGACCTGGTGCGTTCAAGTGTTTTGATTTTGATGGTAGGCATACCACCTAGTGTGAAACATCGGATTTTTTCAGCAAAAGGGGTAAAGCCGTGCGTTCGAGGGGCAACGTGTGAGTGGTGAAAATAAAGTGGTGCATCGAAGTAGCGATATCTGTGGCGGCAGTCCGTAAATTTAGTGTAGGCCACGGTGAATTAATGCCCTGGCTCGCTCTAATGGTTGGCCATCAACCTCTTGGAGAGTCAGCAATGCCCTAGAGATGTCTAGTGCTGCAGTGGTGAATTCTGTGAAAATGCCGATGTCCCGAACACAATTGTTTCCAGTCTCGTCCCATTCATACATCCAAGAAGGGGGTGGCGGAGGCTTTCCTCCCCTGAATAAAAGCTCTCTGAAAGAACAGAGCCCTCCTGCAGCTTCAACAGCCTCCTCTGCAAATTCGGCAGGGCTCCCTGAGATCTCTGTTGGCAATTCTTGTGTTTTGCAATGCATGCAGTCACACATGACCAGGGGCACATCTATCACCCAAGTCAAACCTTCAACAGTCCCAGTTTCCAGCACAGATTGTAAACCCAAAACCATGGTGGCAATACCAGAACAAGTCATGAAACTGTACATGAACAAACTCACCCCCTATGAACATCATGAAATATTCAACTATCCCCAAATATACTTCATTGGTGCCAATGCAAAGAAAAGACCTGGTGTAATTGGGAATCCAAATAACTGTGATTATGACAATGATCAGGGCTCATACATTCACATTCCACATGACCATGTAGCCTATAGATATGAGGTTCTCAAAGTTATAGGGAAAGGCTCTTTTGGGCAGGTAGTTAAGGCCTATGATCACAAAAACCATATGCATGTTGCTCTTAAGATGGTTCGCAATGAAAAGAGGTTTCATCGCCAAGCTCAGGAAGAAGTACGCATTTTGGAGCATCTGAGGAAACAAGACAAAGACAACACCATGAATATCATTCACATGTTGGACTCATTTACATTTAGGAATCACATGTGCATTACTTTTGAACTACTTTCTATAAATCTGTATGAACTGATAAAAAAGAACAAATTTCAAGGATTCAGTTTGCAACTTGTCAGAAAATTCAGCTATTCCTTGCTGCAGTGCCTGGATGCCCTTAATAGAAATAAAATCATTCATTGTGATATGAAGCCAGAGAATGTATTACTCAAACAACAAGGAAGAAGTGGGTTGAAGGTAAACAATTAAAACTTTTCTTACTTAACTTTTACCTTATAAAAAATATTGAGAAACCTGTAGGTGTATCTTATCTAATTTTTTTACTATATCAGGCATATTTTCTAATTGAAACAAACATTTCAATTCAAATTATCTTAAAAATTCCAATAGGTACTGTAGAATGTTGATAGGTAAACCTTTTTATCAAGTAATTAGCAGGTGTACCTCTTTTTCTTAACTAAATGTATATTATCTAATATATTATCTTTGAGCTGATTCATTTAGTGATGTATAGTTTATTTGATTGTATGTGACTTGTTACATAACTAACAAATTGCTTCAGTATACTCCATGATATTTTTATTACCTATATCTGAACTAATAAACATTCACCAAGGTGTTCTGATAGATAAAAAACGTGGATGTATCATTTGCTTATGAAACATTGCTATTGAAAATGTGATATTTCTGTACACAAAGCTTATCTGGTTGGCAATTCATTATTATGCAACTGAACAGTGCATGCATTAATCTTATCAGCTTTCCATAACATAGGTGCCCCTATAACTTAAACAATTACCTCACATTCATGTTCCATTAGTGTAGGTATTATTGAATTCATGGCCAGCATAGTATTTGAAATGAAAATTTCAATGTCTCTTTTAATGGAACAAATTCGGAAAAGAATTACCCTCGCAAATTACCCTCAGTATTACCCGAGGAATTACCTATATGAAGCTAGAAAACATTAATTCTAGATAATTCATTTTCTCACTTATTTCTTTAAAATGGAATAAAAGTTACTGTTCACCAGTGTGCCAAATGAAAATTGGTTGGAAATACCTGTTATACAGGGTGATCAGAATTCTGAATCTTGAAGCACCCTGTATTTTTTTCAATTAAATTCCAGTAGATAGTGAATCAATAGTTAAGACAGGGACATGTAAGCCGTTTTGATTGATAATGAATAGTTTCTACACAAAAAAAAATCGTAAAAATTAAAAATCTCGATTTTGAACACCCTATAACGCCCTATAACTTTGTAATCATTCCTGCTAGACCCCCAAGTTTGATGCATTAATGAAATCAGCTCTTCAGAAAGAATCTAAAAATGCAACAAAATACAGGGTGTTTCATTTGAAATAACAAAGTTGCTAGTTGTTTCTGATAAAAGTGGCAACACTGTATCGATAAAAATATTTTAGGCGGGTAGAGAATGTTCAATTATCAAAGCATCCCAATTTTCAGAATGTTCTGTCTTTTCGTTTTCCAAATGTTTCTAATAGGCCATCCACCGCCTGTATATGCACGACAAAATATAATTTTGAAATGAGTAAGTAAATCTAAACTGGTCAACATTGATAACGTCGTGCTCCAAAATATATCCTGAATTCAAAGTAGAATAACTCATGAATTTCCTTACCAATTTGAAATCGGTTTTCACCGATGATCAACCTAATCTCTTGACAATTCGTTGTGGCAATATGAAACTTCTGTAATTTCAGATAACATTGCTACAGGGTGATAATTGAATGGGTGTAAAATTGCATCGTGGTCGTCACCTTACCGTTTGAACAGATAATTTCTTTAATTTTTTTTCTCACCTGTATGCTCTTGATTGAAATTCAGAAGAATCAACGTTGTGTGTATAGTCGTCGGATATGTGATCGTGTTCGGACACAGAAAATTCTGAAAAGGTCTATACAAAGTGATAAAAGAACTATACTGAATGATGGAATGGAGAATAACGTAGTTTTTAGTAGATGAAACATAATTTTCTCTGTGTTACTAGTGGAATAATGGAGTGTTACTTCGTCATGAGGATGTCTGGTGTCTGACCTCGAAATGGTTTTGTAATTTCTTGGATCAATGGTCATATAATGAAAGTACGCATTTTTAATCGAAATGATGCATTTTCGTTAAGATAAATTATAAAATTTAAAAAATTACGATTGTAGTTCCAGAAGTATGGAATTCATATTTATTCTTGACGATGGATATACAAGGTGCGATATAAAGTATGTCCAGATTGTCCCGGGATGAAGAAGGATATGTTTAAACGTGATGAAAATCCGTGAAAATCGCTATATGTTCCGAAAAAGGAATATAGTGTCGGTCATGGTCAAAATTTGTGAAATGTATAAATACAGTAACTTTTCATGAGGTTTATACGAGGAAATATGGAAGAGACTGCAGAATTGCCATATATTCGATGTAATGTTTTTCATACTAATGAAGATGGATACAGTAAAATTTCGTACACCGTTTGCCTAATAGTTCCAGGCATTCTCAGTAATGTCGGAAGGAAGGTTCAAGTCAGCTTAGGTTGATTAGAAGCAGTAGTCTCTTCTGTCTTGAAGAGCTGATTTCATCAATATATCATACTTGGGGTCTAGCGGGAATGATTACAGCATATTACAGAGATATAGGGTGTACAAAATCGAGATTTTTCAACTTTAGTATTGTTTTGTGTCGAAACTATTCATTATTGGTCCAAACGGCTCTCATGTCTCTATCTCAACTTTTGATTGACTATCTACTGGCATTTAATTGGAACATATACAGTGTGGTTGAAGATTCAGAATTCTGATCACCCTGTATCTGTTCCAATTATTAAATGTCAGTAGATAGTAAATCAAAAATTAAGAAACGGACATGAAAGCCGTTTTGACCGATAATGAATAGTTTCGTCACAAAAAAATCCTGAAGTTGAAAAATCTCGATTTTGAACACCCTATATCCAGCAGCGGATTTTCTGGTACGGTTAGCATGCTTGAGCTTAGGGCCCCGACCCTTGCAGGGGCCCCGTGGGGGCCCTGGAATTTCATGATTATTTTTCCATATCATTTGTTCGTATAAATGAAATAATGACAAAAAAATTCTCTTCTGAGCAATATTTATTTTATTTAGGTAGCGGCTGCAACAACATTACAATTTGTTCAAAAATGTTGAACATTATATACAGAGTCCTGCGGATTTCATAGGGACAGTATTGTTATTTCCTCAGCGGTATAATAAGATACAGAAAGTTAATTGAATTAGATTTAAGTTGCGTAATCAGATCGAACCTCTTAAAATATGCCGTTTGGCAAACTTTATCTTCATTATTTTCAGATATACCGGGTGTCAACGAATCTATTAGACAAGTCATAACTTCTAGACCATTAGGTTTATCAAAATGAGATTTGGTATAGGTAAATGGTATGTGATGAGGAGAGTTATCACATATTTCTCACTTTCCGGTCACTTCCGGTTTCACCGGAAATGGCTCCAGTTCTAAATTTTTAAATGGAACACCCTGTATATTGTAACATTTTTGGATTTCTGAGACAATTCTAGATCAGAATGTGACATTTTGATCCTATCGCAAATGAATTAGTATCGTTAGATTCGTCAAAATATTCTCTTTTCGGAAAGTGCTTGTCAAAAAATGGTCGCCATTTGAAAAATAATAGTCAGACACGAAAATGTAATTTTGCCAACTTGTCTTATTCATATCTATCATACTTGTCACTAAAACTTCGCGATTGTTATTTTCTGATATCACCTGAGGTCCTTAGATTAGTTTACTTCCGATCATGGCCACCTAGATGTAATTTCAAAAGTGACTCCGAAAAAATTAAGTAGGCATAAAAACTTTCGAAAATGTCACATTCTGATCTAGAATTGTCGCATAAATCCAAAAATGTTACAATATACAGGGTGTTCCATTTAAAAATTCAGATCCGGAGCCATTTTCGGTGAAACCGGAAGTGACCGGAAAGTGAAAAATATGTGACAACTCGACTCTTCACATACCATTTATCTATATCAAATCTCGTTTTGATACACCTTATGGTCTAGAAGTTATGACTTGTCTAATAGATTCGTTGACACCCGGTATGTACCTTGCAACTTTTTGTTTTTTTTATTAGGCGCCATATGTGTTATTTATACAATTGGATAGAGCTGAGAATTGCATTCACATCAGTGATATATGGCAAAGCTCTGGAATTCATTGCCTGAGCAAGTATTTCCAAGAACTTATAATCTCCAAAAGTTCAAAAAGAATCCAACACCTACCACCTTTCCCTTTCCTGCGCACCAAGCGAACGAAAAAATCGACTTTATCACATGAAAACAATTTTTAGCTGTTCATCACTGCTTAAAATCAAACTCTCTAATCATTTTCGCTAGGCCCCAGGCTCGGCCCAGGTGTGATACATTGATGAAATCAGCTCTTCAGGGAGAAACTGAATATACATTGAGAAATAGGGTGTTCTATTTAAAAAAATCAAATAGTACCCTGTAGATCGTTTGTTTCGAGCACCTTGTATTTTCTGATGTACCTACCGGAAAAAAACTATCGAAAATCATTTTAGATGATATTCAAAATTTTGCAATCGGTTCAAAAATAACTGAGCTAGAGGGGGGGAAGGGAGACATTTATGGTGAATCACCCTCTACTATCCTCCATCCAGGTGATAGACTTCGGCTCGTCCTGCTACGAGCAAAACCGCGTCTACACCTACATCCAGTCGCGCTTCTACCGAGCCCCCGAGGTCATCCTCGGCGCCCGCTACGGCATGCCCATCGACATGTGGTCGCTGGGCTGCATCCTCGCCGAGCTGCTCACCGGCTTCCCCCTCCTACCGGGCGAGGACGAAGCCGACCAGCTGGCCTGCATCATGGAACTCCTCGGCCTGCCGCCGCAGCGCCTGCTCGGCCAATCGAAGCGCGCCAAGAACTTCATCAGCTCCAAAGGCGTGCCCCGATACTGCACTTGCTCGACGCTGCCCGACGGCACGGTGGTGTTGAGCGGCGGACTGAGTAGGCGGGGCAAGCCGAGAGGCCCGCCCGGTTCGAAGGACCTCAAGCGCGCGCTCAAAGGGTGCGACGATCCGCTGTTCCTGGATTTCATCCAGCGGTGCTTGAAGTGGGACCCCGACGCAAGGATGACGCCCAGCGAGGCCTTGAGGCACGGCTGGCTGAGAAGGTGGGTGGCCCAATAGCTTGTACGCCCTACTTCCTCCGACCTTCTCGAAATCTCGGAATTATCCTGGTGGTAAAACTCGGTGGAATTCTGGTATACAAATGACTGGAATTCCTTGAAAGTCCCTGGAACTCCTTGGAAGTCCCTGGATTTCCTTGGAATTCCCTGGATTTCCTTGGAATTCCCTGGATTTCCTTGGAATTCCCTGGATTTCCTTGGAATTCCCTGGATTTCCTTGGAATCCCCTGGATTTCCTTGGAATCCCCTGGATTTCCTTGGAATCCCCTGGATTTCCTTGAAATCCCCTGGATTTCCTCGGAATCCCCTGGAATTCCTTGGAATTCCCTGGATTTCCTTGGAATTCCCTGGATTTCCTTGGATTTTCTTGAAATTACTTTAATTTACTTGGAATTCCCTGAAATTCCTTGGAATCCCTGGATTTCCTTGGAATCCCCTGGATTTCCTTGGAATCCCCTGGATTTCCTTGGAATTCCCTGGATTTCCTTGGAATTCCCTGGATTTCCTTGGATTTTCTTGGAATTACTTGAATTTACTTGGAATTCCCTGAAATTCCTTGGACAAAGTGCGATATATTCTTGTTCTACAAACAACTGGAATTCATTTACTTTCCTTATAAGTCCTTGGATTTCCATGGAATTCCTTGGATTTACTTGGAATTCCTTAGATTTCCATGAAATTCCTGGGATTTCCATGGAATTCTTTGGACTTCCTTGGAATTCCCTGAAATTCCTTGGGCAAAGTGCGCTATATTCTTGTTCTACAAACAACGGGAATTCCTTGGAATTCTTTGGATATCTTTGGAATTCTTTGGATATCCTTGGAATTCTTTGGGTAAAGTGCGGTATAATTCTGGTGTACAAACAACTGGAATTCCTTGGATTTCCTTGTATTTCCTTGAAATTCCTTGGATTTACTTGGAATTCCCTGAAATTCCTTGGGAGAAGTGCGCTATATTCTTGTTCTACAAACAACTGGAATTCCTTGGAATTCTTTGGATATCCTTGGAATTCTTTGGGTGCAGTGCGGTATAATTCTGGTGCAGAAGCAACTGGAATTCCTTGAATTTCCTTGGAATTCCTTGGATTTCCTTGGATTTCCTTGGAATTCCTTGGATTTTCTTGGAACTCCCTGGAATTCCTTGGAGTTTCTTGGAATTCATTGTGTGGAATGCGGTTTAATTCTGGTGTACAAACAACTGGAATTCCTTGTGAAATTGAAGTTTGGTGTTCAGAATTTTGACCGCGGTTTACCACTCGGAATTATCTTTTTGATAATGAAAGTTGTTCCTCTAGTTGCATCATTTCCACTCAATGATGAAAAAGTGATCACCTTGAAATTATAACTTCCACTTAGCATTCTTTCACCAATAATCCCTGCTTCCCTATCCCTACTTCCCAGTCCCTACTTCCCTATCCCTACTTTCCTATCCCTACTTCCCTATCCTTACTTCCCTATCCCTACTTCCCTATCCTAACTTCCCTATCCCTACTTTCCTACCCCTACTTCCCGTAATTTCTGAAACTTGTCATAAAAATAGCACTTGTTTTGACCTGTTCAATCAAAATTGCTGCACTGTTTTTTATTATTCTCTTCCGTTCCCAATGAAATTACTTATCATTGTCGATTTGGTTGAAGTTTGCATTGAAAAATCACGAGAATATCGGAATATTGAAAATATAGTACAATGCTTCCAAGACATACAGAGCTCAGAGCTGCATAACATACTTATATAACGACAAATCTTAATGTTACCCATAAAATACTGTATATTCGTGAAATAAACTTCATTATTATTCAGTGGCGGCTCGTGACTTTCATGACAGAGGAGGCTGAATGATATGAGATTTATTGTGAAAAACAACTCTCTACTCACCAAAATCAATAGCTTTAATGACATTCTGTTTACCAGTTGACCTGAACTTAATACTTGAAGGGATGTGTTCCTGTGATTTGCAGTGTCTATCCAATCCGCGAGGCAAATTTTTCAAATCATTATATCCTGATCGCCCCCAACATAATGACTTATCGGTTGAAAATAATACGCAGTACCAACAAAATAGCTCATTCCTTACCTCAGATTCCGTCAACCAGATATATTCTTTATAATTATCAGAATTGAACGAACGATTTTGTTTGTTACAATCAGATTTTCCAATTCCGGTGTCGGTCGTTTGTTTTTCACAATCAATTTATCTTCATCAGACAAAGCACTCAATGGGTTCACCAAAAAGCATTCCACTAAATCGAAATCGTTTAAAACACTCATTTTTCAGAAATTTATAGAGCCCCTAACCATTAAACTAACATAAACATAAACAATGCACTCTCGCTGGAGTGTCCGCAATTCGCAACGCGACACGACAAACACGTGCTATTCGGGCGTATTCGGGCATTTGCATTGCGCGCGTGGGTTGCGCATTGTGAAGGAGTCTAGCCTCCTATAGATGTTGCCAAGTTGAATATTTCACGCGTGATTTGCAGACTTCAACGTGTGATGCGTAGGCAAGCACTGTTATATACCAATTCAGAAATATTTACCCAAAAACAGGAAGTAAAATCAAAATTCATGTATTTTGGTGTCTTTTTAATGAGAAAGTATAGATAATATCAGTTTAAGAAAAATCTCTGAGGAGGCTCAGCCTCCGTTGCCTCCTCTGAAGAGCCGCCACTGTTATTATTATTAATTTGTTGTTCCATTTGCAAGGAGGCTGCCGAGGCCGCCGAACGAGAAGGAGCAGAGCAGCGCAGGCGCATCGCGAGTCACGCCCACTGGCCCGCGCACGCCCAAATCGAGCGGCAGCGGCGGCACCGCCAGCACCCTGTTCTCCAACAACAGGGCGCAGCTGAGCGACGACAGATCTTCAACGCTTCACTCGGGCAAGCTGCCGCCGGTCACGTAGCCCAACGTGATGCTTCCCTAGGGGCCACGTTCGGGTCAGAGGTAGCTTCCCCAGGGGCCACGTACCGGGTGTACCACTAAGAAAGGACGCCGGCTGTATCTCGGAAACTATTTGCCGCGCAGGTTCCGGAAAAAAATATTTATGATTAAAGTGGCCAAGAAAAATCTCTGGAAATGATGCATTGGCCAATTTAAAAAAAGGGTTTTTATGAAAATTTGATATATCAAGACTTATCAAAAACACTTTTTTCATGTTCTCGAGTTGATTTCCAATCATTTCAATCAGAAAGAAAATGCGCTAGCTCTTTGAATGAAAGAGTGAGGGAAGGATGAATAGTACTTTGGAAAAACTCTCATTACTACAGTTTGGTGTAGCGGAATTCATTGATCTTCGTCTCATTATGAAGGGTTTTTTCAGATCTTCCAGATAAATCACGAATAAAGTCGATTCGAATCCCGTGGTGGCCGCTAGATGGCCAATTTGTAATTTTTTTTTTTCGAGAATTTCAAATGGAACCGTATATTTTTTCTGCCATAATATGAAAGTGAAGTAAACGAGAAGAAAAATAGTGAAAACCGCGAGTTGATAACTCTTGAAGAACCGGAGAAATACTTGGAATAATATTATTATAATTTAAACTGCTAGCATGTCAAATGTCATTACTAAGAATCTCCTTCACTATTGTGGGATATAACAGCAGTTTGGGAAACCAAAATAATTGAATTATTGTTGGATTCCTGTGGTGAATATTTTCATAATATTATTTCGAGTATTTCACCGATTCCTCGAGAGGTATCAATTCGCGGTTCTCACCATTCTTCTTCTCGTTTGCTCTACTTTCATATTAGAGTAGAATAAATATATGGTTCCATTTGAAATTCTGGAAAAAAATGGAAAATTGTCTGATTTTTTCAAACGATGCCATCTAGCGGCCACCACAGGATTTAAATCCACTTGATTCGTGATTCATCTGAAAGAACTTAAAAAACCCTTCATAATGAGGCCAAGATCGTTGAAGTCCGTTACACCAAACTGTAGTAATGTGGGTTTATTTAAAGAGCTATCGCAAGTTCTCTTGATCGAAATGATTGGAAATCAACTCATGAAAAAAGTGTTTTTGATATGTCTTGATGTAACAAATTTTCATAAAAACCCGTTTATTAAACTAGTCAATGCAATTACGCCCTCTAGCGGCTGTCCTGGAAACTTGAAAATAATTTCCAGAGATTTCTCTTGGCCACTTTCATCATTCATATTTTTTTTCGAAACCTGTGCGGCAAATAAACTACTCAACACTAATTTCGTCGCATACCAAAATGCCGCCCCTGTTATAATGTGAATAACTTTTTTCAGTTTAAAACAATTTGAATTTGGTTTACACTGTTCCATAGCCCAGTCCTTCAGCTATAATCTGGTACTTCATTGAAACATAAGGGTATTCAAATAAAATCTCTACATGGTGTTTTCCGACACCGTGCAAAATTTCGGAATATTCAAAAGGCTCTCAAATGGTGAAAAAATTTTTTTCCTCAACTTCGACAAGAGATGCATGAAGATGATGTCATTACCTCGAGATATTTCGCGAATCAACTTCCTATCTCTCTTATTTACAGAGTGATCTCAAAAAATGAACTTTTTGGTTTTGCAGCCATAACTTTTTTCCACGTCAACCGATTTTGGAACTCTTAGGCTCATTTTGAAGATAAAACTTCAGATGAAGAGATCTGAATATCAGAATTAACTCAAGATGGCTATCAAAGATCTAGAGTTTTCTTGAAAGTGACCCAAATCTGGAACGCCCTCCGAATCTCGGTTGGGAGGAGAATTGAATAAAAATCAACTTGTTCTCGGAAAAACAATTCATTCTGGATGCGTCCATATTTTCCTCGCTCTCAGTACTCAAGAATGTGCGTGAGAAAACACAATTGAAACATGTTCTTGCAAAAACATCGGACCATTTCTCCTCTGTAATGCATGGCCCGTAACCAACGTTACAAGAATCACAGTAAGTGAATACTTCTCCATATTCTTAAATCGCATGTTATGTACGTGACAACTGTTAAAAAAATCACTTTATTGAAAAAATCAAAATCCGTTGCTCTTGTTGGTACACCATTTATGATGAGTCTCAGCTGGTCGGGTTTGTCAGTCACTCATTGTGATTCTTGTAACGTTGGTTACGGCGGGCCATGCATTACAGAGGAGAAATGAACTAATGTTTTTGCAAGAACATGTTTCAATTGTGTTTTCTCACGCACCATTCTTGACTACTGAGAGCGAGGAAAATATGGACGCATCCAGAATAAATTATTGTTTTTCCGAGAACAAGTTGATTTTCATTCAATTCTCCTCCCAACCAAGATTCGAAGGGCGTTCCAGATTTGGGTTACTTTCAAGAAAACTCTAGATCTTTGATAGCCATCTTGAGCCAATTCTGATATTCAGATCTCTTCATCTGAAGTTTTATCTTCAAAATGAGCCTAAGATTTCCAAAATCGGTTGACGTGGAAAAAAGTTGTGGCTTCAAAACCAAAAAGTTGATTTTTTGAGATCACTCTGTAAATAAGAGAGATAGGAAGTTGATTCGCGAAATATCTCGAGGTAATGACATCATCTTCATGCCTCTGTTGTCGAAGTTGAGAAAAAATGTTTTTTCACCATTTGAGAGCCTTTTGAATATTCCGAAATTTTGCACAGTGTCGGAAAACACCATGTAGAGATTTTATTTGAATACCCTTGTGTTTCAATGAAGTACCAGATCATAGCTGAAGGACTGGGCTATCGAACAGTGCAAACCAAATTCAAATTGTTTTAAACTGAAATAAGTTATTCACATTATAACAGGGGCGACATTTTGGTGTGCGACGAAATTAGTGTTGAGTAGTTTAGTTTCCGAGATACAGCCGGCGTCCTTTCTTAGTGGTACACCCGGTACAGGTTAGGGGCAGCTTAGGGGTGTGGCGGCGCATATCTGGGGTGGGTGTGTGTGTGTTGGCTGGGCGAAATTTTGGTGGATGATTGTGGGGTGGGATGGCGATGGACGAGCAAACTGGGATATTTTGTTTCCTGGGCTATATTGGAAATTGGAGTTCGGAATTTCGATCAGGGTTTGTAAGATATGTATCCCTGGTGGTTCTTCGGGGTTCCCTGAGATTCCTCGGAATCCATTCGGGGGTTTCTAGAATTTTTGGAGTCCTTTGGAATTTCCTAAGAATTTTTTCGAATTACCCTTTTTTCTGGAGGGTTCCTGCAATCTCATTGGAATTTATCAGGGATTCCTTGAATTCTTCTGATCTTCTTGGAATTTTTCCAAGTTCGTTAAAATTCCCGAGAATTCTTGGGGACCTCTGAATCTATTGGAATTTCCGGTAATTCTCTAGATTTTCTTGGATTCCTTGGATTTTTCGGAACTTTTTTGATTTTTTAGTACACAATTTTGACCACCACAAATGTTTTCCTTAACAAATGACTCTATGATTATTTTAGCAAGGAATTTTATCATCCATTATTATTTTATTTAGCTGTCTGATATCATAACCAATCAAATTTTTTGCTTTATAAAGCATAGCTAAAAATTGATCATAAAACTGCCAGTAGATAAGTTTATCCAAGAGTGAGATACTAAATGAAGTTTCTAGTATGTTCTTGTCGGAGTCTACTCTCGTTTTGTATTAGACAAATGTAATAGGTAGAAAGTTAAATCAAATTTTCAATTCTCATTTATTTTCTTTTTTATATGCTCAAGTCCCTGTTTCTATTTTTTTAATATAATTATTGTGATATCTTTTTACAAGTTGGGTTTTTTATGTATACATACAGAAAGCTTCTTATATGAATATCATATATTCTTGTGTTGTGATATACTTGATCTTTTATCTCATCCATATTTGTTTTTCAACTTTTTATTGAGTTGCTTCTTTTCTTGCTTAAAAAGACATGTGCAATAGTTATATTTGAAATCTCAATTTCCTAACATTAGATATGTTTTTCATTATTTTTTTTTTAATACATACAGGCGGTCAACCTATTTGAGTTTGAAATTGATCAACAGTTTTTTGAGTGCTCTGTGTAATGTGATCTGAAAGCAATTAGTTTCAAAATTTGGCGAAACTACAAGTGAAACTTATAAGCAGTTCATTGCCTTATTTTTAGCAGTGTTATTTCACTCTTGAAAGAATGCCATCTATTTAGGTGCTCCCTATATCCTGTATGTATAAATAAATGATCTCTTATTGAAAGTGAATCGATTTCAGTTAAGTATGTAGATGTTTTGTTCAGATGATTGATAAATAATCTTTCAAATAAACACTTGTAAACATTTTCGCTCAGTAGCGGAAATTTTGTGAACAACAGACAAATACAATGACTATTTGTTTCCCATTGAAGACATTTGCTTTTCTAGTGGTGTATTTGTACTTAATATCCATGCAAGTGTTGTTTAATTACTTATGTTTTATATTATTTGCTCAATTATTTTCAGCATATCATTTTTGTGAGTGAGGATTTGAATCCAAATCAACTACAGAATTTCAAACCCAAAATATTTGCATATTTTGGGAACAACGATCATCTGAAAACTTTTATGGCCTGAATAAACTTTCACTTTTGTTTCTTCTTTTAGTTACTGTCAAAGTGATATATAGATTTATATAAATATAGACACTTTTTGTACTGTTAAAGGAGTCGTCAGTTTTGCAAGTTAGATATACAACTTCAATTTAAGCTTCATCAGATTTCATTCAGGAGCACTGAAACAATAGATTTTGGAATTGAAAGTTAAGTTGAAGATGTTTAATTTTCTTGCGAAATTAGACACTGAATGTGTGCTTGCCTGTTAAATGAACCTCAAAAATAAATAATTTTTATTGAGGAGTATAGAAATGAGACTAGGCCAGAAGGATTTGAATCAGTCTTAAACACTTGACATGTATGATATTTCCCTGTTGAACATATCCATCTCTGAATACTGTGAAATAGGTAATAATTTGTAGTAGATAATTTATTGTTTCAGCCATAAATCAATTGCAAAAAACTTGAAAGTTCATCTAAAAACACAACAGTGAAAATTGGCATTCAAAGAAGGAAATTTGGTACTCACACTAATAAATATTTAATGATATACAGTTGCCTACAAGTATTAGAGAGAGAAATTAACGTCATTCTCTTTAACGTAAAACGGGCTATCGGGAATGATTGTTGACCAAATGTTGACAGCTGTCATAGGTTGTCAAAAATACAGAGCATTCGCTGAGCCAGTTTTACACAACTAAAACTAGGATGACGTTAACTTTTCTTCTCAATACTTGTATTCTTTTCTATTGAAC